ACCCTGGGACCCAGACCTTGAACTGTGTAAAGGACCCCCAGAAAATGGAGCTGCTTCCCGTTCTCCCAGAGCATTGATTTTTGTGACCACAGTTACAAACCGCCTCCAGAGAGCCTGTTCTACACCAGACCAGTGGAGCCAGACTGCAGCTAGAGCCCATCATCATCCTCATCTAGTTGTAAGTAGGCAATCTAGTATATTATTCGTGGCACTAAGCTCTAATTTACCTCACATTAAAGAAACACTATAGTCCCCAGAACCACTTCAGCTTAATGTAGTGGTTCTGGTGTCTATAGCCTGTCCCTGCAGGCCTTTTAACACGGCGGCACTGCAGCACTGGCGTTAGTTAACATGGCAAATCATATGGTGGGGCATTGTGATGTCACATGGGGGGCGGCAAACTTTACTTTTGCCTAGGGGCAAAAATCCTTGCCGGCCCTGGCTGGAGGGGGCTGTGTGAGCTGTGGCCGCACAGTGTCCCATGGTAATGTAGTATGTGTGACTGTCTGCCTGTGACTGTGTGTGACTGTCTGCCTGTAACTGAGTGTGTGACTGTCTGTCTGTAATGTGTGTGTGGGGCTGCAGGGATTTTGTAGAAGGGGTGGGGGTTTTGTATTGGGACAGGAGTCTTTATAAGGGGGGATAAGCAGGGGATTTGTGGAAGGGGTTGCGGGGGTTTTGTAGATGGGGCAGTACAGGATTTGTAGAAGGGGCAGGACAGAGGTTTTGTAGGAGGGGCAGGGCAGGACAAGGGTTTTGTAGGAGGGGCTGACAGCGGTTTTGCAAAGTTTACAAATTGTAAAAATAAAAGAAATAAAACCTTTAACATTTTTTACAGGTTTTTTTTTTTTTTCGGGGGGGGGGGGGGGGGGGGGTGCAAGCACAGGATCGCTTGGTGCCAAATGGTCTAGGTACGCCCCTGTCAGGGACCCTGGAATGCGGAAGCCCCATTCAGGGCCGGTGCAAGGAATTTTGGCTACACAGGCGAAGATGAATTTTGCATGCATACACAGGCATGCAGGGACATATATACACAGACATAGTCACACAAAGATATACAGAACAAGGCATACAGAGACATACGGACACAGTCATACAAGGACATACGGACACAGTCATACAGGGACATACAGAACAAGGCATACAGAAACATATGGACACAGTCATATAGACATACAGACACAGGCATACATACATAGTCATACACAGACATATAGTCATATAGAGACATACAGAAACAGGTATACATACATAGTCATACACAGACATATAGTCATATAGAGACAGACACAGGTATACAGAGCAGGGGCAGATCCAGAACCTAATCTTGGGAGGGGGGCTGGTAGTAAGTTGTAGTGGGGGGATAGGGGCTGTATTTGAGGAGTTAGGGAATGTAGTGGGGGGATAGGGGCTGTATTTGAGGAGTTAGGGAATGTAGTAGGGGGACAGGGGCTGTAGTTGAGAGTTAAGGGCTGTAATTGGGGGCTGTAAGATGGACAAAGGGGCAGTAGAGAGGGGCTGATAAAACAAAAAAAACTTTTGATTTAAGAAAATAAAAAAAACCTTTTGATTTAAAAATAAATAAATGTAAATTAACATACTAAATAAACATACTAATAGGTCTTCCTCCCTACTAGAGGCTATAGTTGGGCCAGAGAGGGTGGAACCTTACCTCTGGTGGCAATGATGTTGAAGTTAGCTTCTCATTCGGCCAGCTTCCTTTTCGCAGGCTGAAGTTAGCTTCTTATTCGGTCAAATCCTTATTCAGTGATAGAAGCTACCTTCTTATTCATCTAACTTCTTATTAACTCCTTAAGGATGGCAGGCATGCTTTGCAGTCGTTGGGAACCCGGGCTGCATAGTATGTCCCCAGGGCCAGATTAAAAGCTCATTGGGCCTGGTGCTGACAATTATGATGGGCCTAATTACAGAAACTTATCGACAGAAAACACTAAAACAGTGTCATGTATCTGGTGGAGGTGGTGCTGGAGGGAAACTCACAGTATATAGCGATCAGAAAACACATACCCTATGCTAATCTCTCGCTTTCATCTCTCAAATAAATCCTTACCCTGTAACAGCAGTGTCCAGTGAAGCAGAATGTCGGTTGGTGGGATAAAAGGATGGGCCACTGACGCAAAACACATAACCGGCACGGCCCAAAGGGCCGGTCATGCCCAAAAAAGGTGGCATGTCTGCAGAAAAATTGGAAGGCCAGCCTGGCGTGAATGCATTTCAGGCTGCCTGCCATTCATGTAGGCTGGGCGTGTTATAGACAGTGCCCTGAGCTTGGCCTAAGTTAGTCTAATAATATACTAGCTCTACTCTTTCTAAGGACTGTCCCCTAGCACTTGCTAGTCCACTCCTGTTACACAGTCTGGGACAGATAAAATGTGTATGTAGTGAGTGTAGAAGAAAGGGAACATGCCACAGTGTTAGAGAGACTGAAACAGCAAGAGCATTTGAATAGTGCACAAAGTCCGCTTTACCTTAACTAATTTCATTGTCAGCCAGTCAACACCAGGTTTGTTCCCCTACATCCGTCTTAAGTTTCCATACTTAAGCAAGAGCATGTGAAGAGTAGTAAAAAACTATATATATATATATATATATATATATATATTATTTTTTAGCACTGGGCCTATTCCATGGACATGGGCCTGGAGCTACAGTTCCATCAGTCCCTATGTTAATCCGTCCCTGTATGTCCCTGCTGTCCAGGGGACTTACCTGCTTGCTGGCGTTCCCCACCGGCGATTGCGATGGGGGGGGACTTACCTGGAATCCCAGGGAGTCCCTGTGCTGTTGAGCCAGCCCTCCTGGGCCATGTGATCGCAGGTCCTTGCGAGGACATCACGATCACATGGACTTAATAGCCATCCATAACAGTGCCAGCAGGGGGAGTGCCTGGAATGACAGGTAGTCCCCATGCTGCCTGTAAAAAGTTAAATAAAAGTTAAGACAGTGTAAAATATAATAATATATACTTAGATCATATATATATATATATATCTATTATCATTTTATTATTTATATAGCGCCATCAGATTCCGTAGCGCTGTACAATATGTGGACTAACAGACATGTAATTGTAGCCAGACAACTGGACGTACAGGAACAGAGAGGTGGAGGGCCATGCTCAATGAGCTTATATATATATGATCTAAGTGTATATATAGATCCTTACACATACACACACGTTCATACGCATACACTGTCTAAGTGTATTTTAATATTAATATATATATATATATTAATATCAAAATACACATAGAATGATATTAATTATATATATATATATATATATATATAAATATAATTGTATATATAATATAAAAATATATATAAGTACGTTAAAAATAAAAAATAAAAAAATAATTAATACATTTATATGTGTGTGTGTAATTTCGTTCTAACTGTATTTTGATATTAATATATATAGATATCAAAATACACTTAGAACGAAATAATATATAACCATATACATAAATATATATGTAGATATCACTACATATATACCTATATATAAATAAAAAATAATAATAAAAAATTATATATAAATACACACACATATGTATAT